TTTGCTGATATAAGTAATTTTTACATTTTGCTTAAGATAACGGAAAATAAGTGTATGTAATGCATTTCCTTTAAAATATTTATTAAACGACAATCCTACCTAAAGATTAGTACAATTTACCATTTTCAAGTACAACTCGAATTTTTCTCTTGAAATAATTCGGTACTTGGATAAAATGAACTTGTAAAATAATTTTTAATACCTAAGGCGTCAGTATATTATTATTAACGAACCTTTTTTTTTTTTCTACGTAGCATACGTTTTGTAGCTTAAAATTGTACACGTGTATATGATGTTAAGTAATACTTTATTAAAATAGTTCAGTTCAAGTGCTGTACTAAACAAACCGTCAGTATTTATATATATATATATGTATAATATTAATTATTACTTGTAAGATTGTGACTTGGTAATGATTAATGTAAAGTAACACGATCTAAGAAATAAATTTATTTTGCAAATATAATAAATGTTCAAGTTATAATGTTTTATACTAGAGTACTTTTTTTTTTTTTAAATAATTATCGTAGAACTTTGTTCAATGACATAATTTTTTTATTACGTTTTACAAAGGTTGTACTATGTAGGTACTCTGTACTGCCTTGACAACATTAAAACTCGCCACGTTTGTTCCATGTAGTACATAAAAAAAAATTACAAACAATTGCCCGACTGCTATGCGAATAAATATATTATCATATACTTACAAATTATAATCACTCTTTGTGAACTCAATTTAAACAGCTGATACATTTTAAAATGTATTCGGCTTCTATTTAATATTTAAAATCTATATATCCAAAAGTCTACTTAAATTTTCACTTTATATCTCTGTTGGGAATGACAAATCGACTTTTCCCCCTTTATGGGCTTTTTTTATTTTTTATTTTATAAATGTTAGTTTCGCAACGCCTTTCGCGGCAGCCAATGCCAACGTCACCTCTTCGGAACAACACATAATAATAATAAAAAATATTAATAAAAGAGTTGCGCAAATATAAATTCACCCCCAAAGCCTTAACACATGGTTAAATGTCACGTACGTCAGGTCGTTCTTTTTTTTTAATTTTCAAAATGGACCGCTTTCGTGTAAAAATATGTTAATGGTCGACTGCGGTGCGTCAGATAGGGTTTCAAAACCATTAAGAGAATCGCCAGCAAGGAAGTCTGCGAGTATGATTTAGCCTCCTCTTCCTTTTCGATAAATCATTTTCCCCTTTGTATACTTTTTTATTAACCGCGCGTCTCACGTGTAATGGCGGTGATGAAAATGTATCGTTTTTGATGAATTATTAAAAATTGAAAACTTCATATTTACACTGGTACTATCCTACAGATGATTGTGACCTACGACCGTGTTGATTGATGATGACGAATCGGTCAGCACGGGGCTCCAGGTGGTTCGATTGTCGCGTGTGGACAGGAGGGGATAATCCAAAATTTCGGTATTTTCGTTTATAGGTACACTTTCGGGGTCGCCAAATCGATAGCCAAAATAAATACAAAAAATAAATAGAAATCGCATAAAGCAGATGTATTTTGCCGCAGCGGCGGTTCCATTGTGCCCCTCTCCGCAGTTAGCGCGTGCACACACCTAGATGTTGATTTTGGGTTCTATTTTATTCAAATGTTTTGTTGTATTCTGTTACTTTAACAACAACATTGCAGTATTTTTTTACCAACGAGTATCAAACCATTTGGTGGAAACGTCTGAAAATCACGTCATCATCGATTATAATCGCTGTAAAACAATTTTAATAATCCAATAATCTTTTTTTAATTTTTAAAGATTTTGACGTCCCATCTTCCCCTACCACNTGTATTTTGCCGCAGCGGCGGTTCCATTGTGCCCCTCTCCGCAGTTAGCGCGTGCACACACCTAGATGTTGATTTTGGGTTCTATTTTATTCAAATGTTTTGTTGTATTCTGTTACTTTAACAACAACATTGCAGTATTTTTTTACCAACGAGTATCAAACAATTGGTGGAAACGTCTGAAAATCACGTCATCATCGATTATAATCGCTGTAAAATAATTTTAATAATCCAATAATCTTTTTTTAATTTTTAAAGATTTTGACGTCCTATCTTCCCCTACCATTGTTTTCGTGTTCGTTTCAAATTAATCGGTAAACATTAGTTCATCAATATCGATAGACATTACGTATATAATTTACACTAACTAAATACTTGTGTGTGTCGTGTGGGCATCAGTACAATTGTGCTGTAGCTGAACGATAATTTACTAAGATAATACTTGTGTTTTTTACTTGGAATACTGTTATTAATAACTTTGTTTTCCATGAATACAAGAGAAAATAAGATAACGGCGTTGGCGCCAAGTGCAATCAACGATTACCCATCTGGTTCTCAAAAAAGAAATCTTAGCTACCCCAACCGAACGACGTGTTAAGAAAACAGACTATTTATGTGTTTTGGTTCTTCTCTCCAATTGCGCGTGTTCTATTATCGTAATGGTTTAAATGTTGAGAAACCATTAGCCCCGTGTGCTGTTGTCGTCTACTGCACATACGATGTGGTTTCCGTTACGAAAATCGCACGCACGATAACATAGTAACCGGCCGTCAGAACCGTACAGTTTTTGGGGGTAGTTTCCCCGAGCCGACCCGAATCGGAGGGATCGTCGGTATCATTATTCTGTATAGAAACGGACGCGTGCGTGTGTGTGTCACCGTTCTTAAATGCACCACCATTACCACCACCACCACCACCACCACCACCACCGCTGCCGCCGCCGCCGCCGCCACCACCGACAACATAGACAGCTAACTATTGAAGATCAATTGTACATCCTCCGTGTCCTACTACCTAATACTACCCTTCGTAGTAGTCGTCGATTTCCATTTTTCTCTCCTCAGTCTATATTCGGCACTTACAGCGTTTACCTCGTGTTTTGTTATCATCGCTGTATGCGATCACTAAACTCGGTAGTGATGTTACTGTACGGTGCTACCCTCTCGTGCCTCGTTTTCGTCGCTCGGTAAATGCATTGGTTTAGCTCATCCCAACCGGAGATCTGTTGTCCCAGGTTATGGTGTGCGTGCGTGCGTGCCCCCGTGTAAACACGCGGTGTTTGGATCGTCACGCCTCGGCCGTTTACTTCCCTCGTGGCTTGAACGTAACGTTGTCCTCGTTTTGTTTACTTCCGAATTTGTGACTCTTTGTTTACACAAGTTTCTGTTGCTGCTCCGATTGTTTTTGTCTATCCAAAGTTCAAAAGTTTGGTAAGTATCGCTGCGGTGTTTAATAGTATTAGTTTTGCTAATTAAGATTATTGCTGGTAAGCCAATTAGCGTATAAGCTCTGGTCGCCAGAGTGTTGTATGACGTAACGCCCAATTTGATTGCCAATAGTTATTAGTAGACAATTAGATTATTCGTTTTGCCTCTGTGAATTAGTTTTTCGAATCGCCTTTGCTCACTGCAACTGGTTTCAACTAAAATGTACATTTAAGGGGAGGCTATTGTATTGCTTTTAACAGTGGACCGACTTCCACCCCATTTTACTCGTCGGAAATTGCGTCATCATTTTGGCATTAACTATTTGCTGATACGATTTTTTTTCACTGCGAAATTCTATTATATGTTTCTGTAGAAGAAGGGGTTGGTTTTACTACTTCCTACACTTATGGTTAACGTTTCTCGATTATGAAAATTGTTTGATTGTGTTTAATGCTCTTTTTAAGTGTACGTTCAAAAGTTGCCATTAAAATGAATATAATTTAAAAATCTAGAATCATCACAATGTTGACCACATTATCAAATATTTTTTTATATGTGTGTATCTAAGTACATATTTAAGTACTTATTTAATATTATTAAATACTGTTTTGACGTAATCTGGAGTACCTACTCATTTTTTCAAGTGTTATATTACACAAACATAATTTTTTTTTTTATTATGACGATAATGGTCGGCCGTTGGGCGTTATAAAATTGACTTGGCTCTCAATAAAACGCTTACTTTCTTAATGGCCACGGAAAAAATTTCATATGAGGTCCGTTGGTGTCTTTTAGTCGCTCGGATGACTGATTAAATTATGCACACTTGACTGTTTTAAATATTTTTCATTATTTCTACTTCCTCGGTATAAGCCGTCACGGCCAAACAGTATGTACAAACAGAAAAAATTATATTATTTTGGATATTTTTGCGTTTTATTTTGTGGCTCGAGATGGCTGACTACATGAAAGTAAGTTTCGTAGTCCTGAAGCACTGGATAATTTGTGTGATAACGATACGACTTCCCGTCATCTTTTTAGTACACTATAATTGACATACACGTACAGAGCGGTTGGTGGTTCTGCCGTTAATTATTTTATATAATAAAAAGTAGTTGGATTATTTATAAAGAAAATACGTATTCCGTTGAATTATTTGAGTACTACCAAGTTGTTTTTAAACGATAGCAACGGTGTAGAATAACGGCAAGGGGAACCGATGAATTTCTCGCAGGGCAGCTGCTCTTATTGATGCCGTCGACAAGTCTTAAAAACCTCCCTAGGGGGATATTTTCCATAAAAAAAAAAAAGAACCCATTTCAATTGTGTAGCGTCCTTGTTTTACGAACCGAAAACGAACTTGCACGTGAACTCCACACGAGTTGATAATTCTGTTCGTGTAAAACGTAAAAATTACCAAGTTAGTTCGCTTTATTTGAAAAGTAACTCTGACAATATTTTTTATGTTCCGATGTCGTTTTGGATGGATAACGTGGCACTGAAATTCAAAAGTGATTTACAGTGACATCTCCTCGACAATAATCACTAAAAGTCATAAAAATTGGCTTTTTGTTGCCGTCCGGTTTCACTGTGTTTGTCGTTCGATGACAGTTTTAAAATTAGATTGGTCGTTAATGTTTAGTTCACTTAACGATTGAATGCAAGTGAATTAGTGAAAATATTTAGTTTCTACAAATTGTACACAGAAATATAAACGTATACTGGACAATTATTAATTTTTTTATTATTTCTATTTAGGTAAATGTGTCCACTGCTAAGTATAAACTGCAGCAGATAACGTGCCTCGGTCGGGACAAAAACCAGTTGGCCATCTATCACGTGTGTAGTGCGTGCAACATAAAGATTGCCTGGGTCAACCGGTGCGCTGTCTATGTGTGTGTGACTGAACGCTAAAAGACAGCAACCGAGTTTCATATCTGCGGCAGTCTTATTCAATTACGAGCGGACAGGAAACAAAAAAAAAACCAGCCCGACGGCAATATTATTGACGACACGGTTAATAAAAACGGTACCAACTTCAGCCACGGCCGTCGTTCAGCAAATGCACAAGCTCAAAATCAAAGCGGATTAAAAAAGTTCGAGTTAAACTACTTTACACGGGTCCTTCTCGACCGCAGTCGTTGTGTTCTATTGTTATTATTACTTGCATTATTTTCATTAAGTAGGTTGAACCAGCTTGCGTTTTTTTTTTTTTTTATTCTCGCGCTTTACGCTTTTTGTGCAACAACATATTGTATTATTGTTAATAATAATATTCCCAGTGCGAGAGGTTTATAATTTCATAAGGTTAAAACACATACATGACTTTCATATTAAAATCAAACACGTGCCACTAGTAACCTAAGCATACGCCAATACCGGTCGTTTTTTTTTTTTTTTTATTATGTATTCGTTATTATTATATTCAAAAATTCTCTGCACACTGCCTGTATGTCGTCTTTCAAAAAATACTCTTTCCAATATGCGTGTGCGATGCTCAACAACCAAATATTATGTCAGTTACATGCAACGATTAGACACTAGAAACTTTCGTACAGTTTTGAGAGCTGGCCAATTCGTTGACTGACTTATTCAATGACTACTATTCCGTTACATATATCGACAACGGTTTGCTAACACTGCAACTGAATCTATCTGCTATCGTTATAAGCCCTCTGTTGAATCTGGTCCGTTTATCTGATTTTTTACTATTTGTTTTTTATTGTTCGCCGACTACAATTATACAAATAAGACTACTTTTCCGAATTTGGGATACCGAAGAACTAGAAATTGTGTTCGTTGATTATTTATTACACGTTTTTTTTATATTGTTTTACATCTCATGTCATTGCCAACCGCATCCGTTTTGGCCTTCGTTCGTCAATCCTCAGGGCACCAGCATTAGTGTTCCCTTCAAATCCGTATGTAATTTCTAAACAGAGCCTAAAGTACGACTTCTATTGTTATAGCGATGATGTTAACATGATGAGATCTTAAAAAATGATACACTTTATTGAACATTAGAGATAGTTACAACAATAAAAGTTTTGTTCTCACTCTAAACACGGTTAATTGGAGACAATTATATTAACTGACTGATCGTGTAATTTCAAAATGCATCTTCGGTGATTCCTATCGCCAACAACTTGTCTACCAAGTAATAATATTTATATCGCGTGTTCACGTTTGACGACACCGTCCGGTTCGTCTTTCCCTAGTAATTCCACTCGTGGGAGGAGGGGGTCCCGTGCACACTTTTAATGACCACCGAAAACTGCTTGGGCAGATGTATCTCGTGATGGGCACGAGTCCTAAACTTATTTCATAGATCAGCTGTTGTGTATGTGTTCTTTTTTTCACCTGGCCACTCGTTTCCGTTGCTACTTCTATTGCTGCAATTCATTTTGAATAGTACACGATTATATGCTATCAAAAGAAATGAATTTCATGTTGGTTTAGGCATTATTTTTATTCTTTTTGTACGTTTCATCCTTGTGATCTCTGTAGTTGTAGTGTGCACGTGTTTGGTTAGTAGAGTTATCACTTTGTAGAAATGGATCACCTTTGTTCCTCTATAGCTTTTCTGTGTACAGATTTACCATGTGAAAACGCATACACCATACAATTGAAGTACATTATTTCATGTTAACTATGAAAAGTTCTTTCTAATCTAACGTCTGTGTTGAATATTAACTGGAAAATGGAGCAAGGTCAAACACATTAAACTAACGATGGTCGGCAATGTTTGATTTATCCGTAGAAACCAAAAAAAAAAAAATGTATTTTGTTCTTATATTCAAATGAACGTATTTATGTTAATCTCAAGTGCACAACACTTCCCTATGCTCGTAATTTTTTTCGACACCGTTTTATACTGAATTCACATATAGTTGATAATCATTGACTGATAGGTGTTCTAATTAAAGTTTATTACGGTTTTGCTCTCATTATGTAGGTAATTACTAAGTATTTATAACATACAGGAAAAAACGCTAGAGGCATGTTGGATCATCTCCTTCGGTGCCAATGGCGGTAAACATTAATTATAAGGAGCGGTTTTTACCGTTGATTACAAGATTCTTTAAATGTTCAGCAAAGTTCATTACACGACAGGTGGTGGGGTTTTTTTTAAGTTTACAGACTAAGAATTGAAAATATAACAACCCTGTATGTTGTTTAATGACAGACAATAAACGTTCCATCACCTTTAAGATAATATTCCTTATTCGATTGAAGTTTGTTGTGTAAAATATGCCCCAAATTAATTTACTTAGACTCAATAAGTAGTGATGTAGTATATTAGTGTATAATTATCGTTCATCTTCTATTTGTTTACTTGTATTCAGATACTAAAAGTGATTTCTGGCAAAAAATGTTATACATTTTGAATTTTGAGTGGAAATTTAGTGGAACCGTTACATAATATCTGTTTATATTGTTATTACTTAATGAGACCTAAACTATTAGTATTTTTGTAGGGATGTTAAAAATATCATTGAGTGTATAACCCTTGACGTTAAGTTAAATTGTTAATCAATACATTATACTTAACAATGATTACGACATAGAAGGGAATTAAAGTCATACTTGTTTGTTGATAATGCTAACCAAATGTGGTTTCGAGTATTTAATAATGTTATTTCATCAAATTTATTCCTTGTGAAACTCGTTTCATAATGAGCTACAATACAACTACCAATAGTTACTAGGACTGAAGCAGCAGCCTTTCAATTGTATTGTGATCTTGTTCCAATTATGTAATTAATGGAAAAAAAAAATTAATATAATTACGCTGTTCTGTTAGTGAACGCCATCATTTTATAATATATCGTAAAAAATTTCTTTTCAACGCTAAATTATTTCATGCGTAATCAAGATTTAGAAGTAAACTACAAACATAACTGATAAAGTTAATAAAAAAAAACTATTCGAATTAATTTTATTAGTGACTTGAACAACCAATACATTAAATTATTTCAAATGATTGTATTTTTATCATTATTACTTTGATTTGTATAAAAAAAGAATAATAATTAAAAATTATGAAATTAATAGCTATTACTTTTTTTATCAGATAATTATACACGCTCTTTAGCTGAATAAAATAATTTATTCCTGTTCTTAAATAAGAGGAATTTTTGAGGATATTCTCTAATAAACCACTTTTTTTTTTTAAGGGATTACTAAAAATGTATGTATTTTATTCTAGCAATTTATGTATAACTAAGAAGTTGTTAAATACATTTTGAGTTTGCTAAGTTCAAACTATGGTGTATCAATTGTCATGGGAAATCTTGTGAGATTGTCTACTGTTATTTATTAAGAACAAAATATACACTAGGAAACCATCAAATATTATCACTTTATTATAGCAGCAGCAGCAGTTGTTTCAATACAGATGTAACAAAAAAAGCAACACGTTGCCAGATTCCGTTATAAGTATATGTCATTCATTACCATAACGACGTCGAACGCACAATAGTCAAAATTGTGCTTGATTATCTAAATGGTATCTTGTGCATATGATGTGTTATGTATTATGTGATGTATTCCTTACTTTAATCTTATGATTATTAAGTAATATCAACATTTATAATTGTAAGGTTGTTGTATGAAAATAAGAATGAGTTTTGAAAAGAAAGAAAGATATATAAGGATTTTTATCGTTTTATTTTTCAGATGTTCTTTATGTTTTGGCAATTCAATGCATTTTGCTAATCGGTCGATGACCTGTGTAACTATTGTATAAATTCGACAAATATTGCACATGTCCCGGCCAATTAGCTAAGGCTGCAAACACAACAATGAAACTCTTCATTGACACGAGTGATCAAATTTTATCATCAAGAATATATGTGAAAATGTTTGCAAAATAGGTTGTGTTGTGTGCAATGTGCGTTTGTTCAATTAGTATGTTATTTTCATATTGCACTTGACCCAGCCTGCAATGCACATTTTTTATCATCATGGTATCAACTTATCAATTTTATATTATTTAAAGTTTTTGTTTTATATTTTATTAAAAAATTATAACTACGTATTATATTATTAAATTTAAATAAATAAATTGCACCTACTTATTTTATGTTTAGTTACCTACACTTATATTTTATTTCAAAGACTAAATTAGTTCTTTTACCTAACCATAGATAAGTCGTCCTTTTGNGACTAAATTAGTTCTTTTACCTAATCATAGATAAGTCGTCCTTTTGTAACTAGACAACTCGAACATCAATTACCTTTTTCCATACTTCGCTAAATTAAATATTAATGTATAATATTATATATGTATAGTATAAACTACATGATGGTTATTTAAGGTAATATTAAATCATAGTCAACATATGCTAATGAATACATTTTAGTAAATAATTCATTCTTTAATATATAATACTAACTATATATACATAAATTATGTACAGTTCAATTATGTTTTAAAATAAACTAACATAAGAAATATTAAAATTGGATACAAACATACAAATAAGTAGTATACAAACATTAACATACCTACTACCATTATGGAATTTGGAATAATAATATTTGAAACCAAAATGTAATAATTCAAAATAGTTTTGAATTAAATGGATCAATTATATACATCAAGTACCATATGTTATAAATAAACACTAAATTAAAATATAATAACATAAAGTATAAAAAAAATCTGTTCATTCTTAATTAATACATTTTCTTATAAACATACTAGTCATTTCAATTTAAGGTCTCTGCATTAATAGTATATTTTATAAAAATTTAAATATTAATAGAGGTATCATCTTGTATAAGGTTCAGTAGTATATAAAAATTTGAAGTCTTGTGTTATTCCAGAATATACCATTTACCTGAAAAAATACATAAGACGAATATTATGATATTATTAAGTAATTTTTAAAAATATCTATGCAGGTAAAAGTTTGAAAAATCATAAATTATTTGATTTTGTAAAACCATTGATTACGAGTTTTATTAAATACATTCATTTTTATATACTGATATGCGCAACAAATTTTATTTTTTATCTCCTGAAAAGTGAGTATTTTACTTATCTGGAGATAAAAAATAAAATTTACTCTGATTCAAAGTAAATTTTCAATATTTTAACAAAAGTTATTATAAGAAGAATAAAACCTAAATAAAATCTCAAATTTAATATTTCTAGTTACTGCTTTATTCGTTGCACATAGTGTTATGATAAAAGAGATTGATGCATGGCTGAAAACTCAATAAAAACTGTTTGGGTTCTATAACACAACTAAATTTCATATTTAATCTAAGAGATATACTATGAATAATTTAATTCCATTATTATTATTAATTCATACAATTTATAAAAATATAACATAAAAATACTTTTATTTTTTATCTTACAAAAGTATAGACTTGAAACTAAAAAGAATCTCATTTATTTCTTCACTTAAAAATATTTTAGACACATGGACAACAAAAACTAATAATTAATTTACCACACCATTTATAAAGAATAAATTTATCAAATATCAAGAAAATTATTATTTTTTAACTGTATTTAAACAGATTATTTTTATTTATATATACTACTATCTGTCAAAAATAATGATTATTTTACATTTATTTCAAAAATTATACTGCTATTAACCAATTATAATTGTTTTTTATCAAAATTATTAAACAAATGAAACATTTTTTTTTTGATAAATAATTTTAATTATTATTCTTTTTGTAATAGCATCATTATGTTGTATACAAAGGCTAAATGGTTCTTTATTTTAAATGATAAATGGATATAAAATAGTTTCAAAAAATGTAATAAATGAAACTATATTACATATATAGTGAATCAAAAATGTTAAGTAACAGTACTGACTATAATGATGGTTTCAAACTGCTAAATACTGTAGAGAATAAAATATATTTAAAGATTTTGAATAGAAAACTATCTAAAATAGAAAAATAATGAAAATTATTATTTTCATAATAGTTATTATTCATACAAATACACATTTTAGCTTCGATGCGAAGCTGAGAAGGTATTGGTTTTACTAAGATGTGTTTATTTATTTATTTTTTTTTTTTTGTGTCTGTTACCACTTTTTCTCAGGTCTCACCGAACCGATTTCTTTCAATGATACGTCAAAAGATTACAAATTGTATCTAGTCGAAGACATTACCCTCAAAAATTGAAAAAAATCCCGTCGTTCCCCGTAAATGGGGGAAACCTCCAAAAAAATTACAAATTTAAAAATCGCTAATTTTCAAAAATTTTTCAATTTTTTTTACTTAAAATTGCTATAACTTTTTTTAAAATAACCAAATCAATATAATTTTTTTTTATATAGATGCATGATATCATTATCTTTCATTTGGTATATTTTTTATATGTGACCCTTTACTTGCCCACAGGGGGGGATTTAAAATGACAACTTTTTCACAAAAAATTAGTTTTTTCAACTTGATTTTTGAAAAGGTCTGACACTTTTATATATATCTTAAATTAAAGCTAATGTAATATACTTTATCATGAAAAAAAAAAATTTCGGACTTTATTTTATCTTCACGGTGAAAATGGCTACCGAATGCTATTATTGTGTGAAAATTCTCGATTTTATTTTTTACATTTTTAACTTTATAATGCTATGACATATTGAAAAGTGTATGGATCAATATTATTTTTTTATGAGAAATAATATTTTTTAACAATCTCTTTTTCATTTGACAAACTTTATCATAATTAGAATATTATTAATGAACTAGCAGATCATGTAGCTTTTGGAATAATCCACCAATTTTTTAAAATTAAACACTATCTAAAGATTTGCATCGAAGCGTTTTTTTTTTATAGTGATTTTAATCACTGTCAGATATCATTATACTTGATCCATCTATGCCACGTCACCACTGTGCCACGACCCCCCTGTGCTGGGTTTTTACTAATAATGACTCAATATATTTAGTTTAATATTTTCCTTAAAAATTTAAATATTATATTTTTTTTAATGAGCTAATTAAAAATTAAGTTAGATTGTTAAATTCTTTTAACTTTAAGAAGTTACACAGAATATATAATATAAATATTTGTATTATTCAGTCTAGTATTTTTTCACTTTTTAAAGCTAAAATAGTATAAAAAAAGAAAGCTTAAAATAATAGATCTAAAAGACGTAAAATAAATATCAACCATTATAAAAAAAAAATATCTATTTACTACGTCAATTGACAGTAATTAATTTATATAAAGTACATAACAATATAATGTTGTTTTATTTTGAAGTTAAAAACTAAAATTCTGTAATATTTTGTTACTTTCAAATAAATATTATTAATTATAACTCACATCACAACGTTTTGTAATTCTGGAAATGCATATCTTATGTGGTAATAGGTGGTGCGGGTGAAGCTGGCGCAGCATGTTCTGGGTTTGTAATTACTGGTGGTGGAATGACTCCTGCAGCACCTGCTATTTGTAATCTATGGTGAGCTTGTTGTCGTGCTCTGAATTCAGCAGCTTTTAATTGTTCTAAATGAAATTGCTGTCGTTCCTGAATCAATTGTTGTCTTTGATATTCTAAACCCTCTCGTTCTCTTTCCATGGTAGTTTCTAACTCTTCAAAATGTCTCAATTTAATTTCTAATTTTTTCATTTGGGTTTCAACTAATAAAGCAACTAAAGATTTAATTTTTCGTTCTTCCACAGCAGCTAAATGTTTAGCTTTAACAGCAGCAGCAGCTAAAGCAGCAGCAGCAGCAGCTTGTACTTCAGAATCCTAGGGAAAATAATAAAGTTATCATTAAATTTTAATAATTTATGTATACATACTTTTACAGTTCTCTCAGATCCTCCTTCTGTAGTACAATTAACTCCAGTTGATTGAGTACCTAAATTTTCATTAATTGGTTTTTTATCTACTTCCATGGGCTCCTCTTTAGAATCTTTTTCTTTCTCAGATTCATCTTTTTCTGTTTTGGTAATTATTGCTTTTTCAGTATCTGTATTCACTATATCTTTTGTATCCTTAGTATCATCTAGTTCTTTTTTATCTTCTTTATTATCTTCCTCTTTTTCTGGATATGTTCCAGCTATACCACTCTGCATAAAAAATGTTTTAAAAATGATATTCTTATATTGTAAAATTAAAATAAACATTATTAACCTGTAAGAGACCAACTGCTGGATCATATTTTCCATCAGTTGTAGCGGCTTCTATGTTTTTAACATGAGCATCCATTAATGCTGAAGGAACTTCATCCTTTAAAATATTAGATATACACATTAATTACATAAGAAATATTTAAATTAAATATAATTACTCTAATTGCAGCAAACTCTTCCATAGCAGCCTTAGCTGCTGCAGCAGCTACTCGAGGGTCAACTACTGAAGCCAAAAATGCCACAGTTGACATGATAGGGTTGCCAGATTTACTAAAAGGTATTGGTTGGTAAGACAATGGACCAATAGCACCACCTGTTGATAATTATTTAATTTCATTATATATATAAATTAATGGTTTACAATTGATTAAACCTTTTTTCAAATATATTACATTTTACAAGATGCACGGAAGAAGAAATATTAAAAATTAAGGCTATTTATTAGATTAGTTTGATAAATTTACATACCAGTTTCAAAATCCTCTAAGTATGGATCTTCTATTGGTAACCGAAGGAAATGTAAAATACACTCATCTTGAGTCCTTGTGCCAACATGCTCACAAACTTTATTCCAATCATCTTTGTACATTTCCAAGCCTTCAAGCAATAAAAGAGTTTCTTGTTCTGTCCAATCACGTGTTAGTCCAGCAGCAGTTTTGTTTCTTAAGAGACCCGGTTTTTTTGCATATCTAAAAGTAACAAGATAGTATTCAGTTTATTATACAGTTTTTAAATAATATCTTGTACGATGCAAAAAATTAGTACAAAAAATGAAAAAATTTTAAAAGCACAAATAAATACAGTTCCTTTTTTAACAATTAATTTATATAATAAGATAATACATTTTGGATATGTACGCACTAAACAATTTTTTTTTTTAATTTACATAATTTGAAAAAATATATATAACAAGAATTTAAATTTAAATATATTTGACCTACACTATATTTTATAATAATCATATTATTTTGAAACTTATTTAAGTTAAGATTCATCATTCAGATAACCAGGTGAATTTCACTACAATAATAAATACATTAACAAATAAAAATAATAATAACAGCTTACTGATCTAATTTAAGTCCAAAGTTAGACAAAGATTCTGAATGTTGGATATTATCTTTTTCTGTCATTAAAGGTTTTTTCTCTAAATCTAGAAGTGTTTTGGCTGCTGAAGGTTGTGGAGTTCTAGGAGGATTAACAGGCTGTAATCCTGAAGGCGTATCAGAAAGAATATGGAAATGTGATGTAGGTGGAGGACCCATTGCTGTTGGTCTACTATCAGCATCAACCTAGTTAATTTCAACGAAATATGATTGTATTTTATATTATGTAAATATTTCTATAATTAATAATTTATACTTGATAGTTAATTAAACCCCATTGTTCAAGAAAAGCATGAACTCTCATTATAGCACAAACGTCTCCAGCCAAATTACGTCTAGCTGCAGTGCTAGTCATATATTCAGTTGGATTAAGCCTGTAAGTATCAATCATGAAGTTTCTGTATGCTAAATATATTTCAGGAGTTTTAGATTTGTTTTTATCTGAAATTAAAAAAAATAAAATGGAAATTATACAAAGATTTCATTGTTGAAAAATCAGTGTAATTTATACAAAACGTTATTTAATTTCACATACTATTAAAGAACTCAGGTAAAGCACGTTTTTCTACAGTATGAATAGAGTTGTAGTCAAACCATGCTGCATAACTTGGTATTACAATATGATGCATTTGTTCAGTAGCGTTATCTTCTGGACCTTCTTCTTTAATTGTAGATAAAGCTCCTCCTCCAGTACTAGACACACCAGAAGCAGGACAACTTGTTCCATCTTGTCCATTTGCATCAAATGGTTTATTATCGTCTCCTTTATCTAAATCTTCATCTAAATCCATAAGAGTACCACTTCTAAGAGGTTGAGAATCACTATCTTTTTTTGAGGAAGATGAACCTAAAAATATATTTAATTAAAATAGTTTTTAAATTAAATGTCAATGTCAAAAACAGAATTTTTTTTTTCAATTTTCAAATGATCCTCACAGAAAAATCATTTAGCAAGCAGTATGGCTAATTTTTTTTTTTTTTTATGTTTTTATTTCAATTATAACTTGTAACATGCTACTAGTATACATATATTTAGTGCAATAGTCATTTAAAAATAGAAAAATATATATTTTTTTATTTTTGACTTTTGAACTTTTTTAATATATAAACCTAGGATTCAATAAATAGCTTACCAGTTTTAGATTGATTCAAATTAACACTTATTTCAGAAATATTAGGTTCTGATATTGGGTCATCAAGATCTCTTGTAAGATCATCACTATCATCATCAACTTTATTTTTTTTTAAACTCATCACAGAACTTCCTCTGCCACTGTTAATTAGAACAAATAAAAAAATAAAAAGTAATACATTAATAATTTATATTTTACAGTGGAACTTTGATTATCGTTACTCATTATCCATCATAACAGTTTAAAATATATCTAAATCATAATTAGCGTAAAGTAATGAATTATTCATTAGACCTATAATGCATGACTTTAAACTTAAACTTTGATGAAGGATAAAAGAGTAACAGTTAATCAAAGTTCAACTGTACAATAGTTTCAATTTTAATAGTTATGTAAATTTATTATTAACACTTGATTACTTTTCATATATTATTACATTATTTACTATTTAGATTTTTCTTTATTTTTCAATAGTCCTAGTTATTACCTTTTACGCTTATTAGGTTTAGAAGGGGGAGATGGTGTCCTTTTTCTTTTTGGTTTCTTTTTACCACTGGATAAATCATTATTCATTAAATCTTCAACAGAAAGTCGCAGCTAAAATTTTTTATTTAATTATAATTTGTTTGATCATTAATATGTGCTTAATATTAAAAGTATATATCTTAATAATATATATCTTAATAAGAGAAGTATATTACAAAAAAAATTATCAAAAAAATAAAAACTAATTAGGGAACTCTTAGTCAAGAGGAAGTTTATCAGAAAGAAACATATTATTTAAAATAAATACTTAATTACAAAACACCTTTAATATAATAAATTAATATTTAATAGATAAATTTAAATTATACCTTATGAGCAGTTTTTTTACCAGTATCATCAACTTCATAGTCTTCTTCATTCATCCATTCATTGTGGACATCTGTATCTAAAACCCAAGATGATGTAACCTGCAATATTAACATTAAATTAATGGCCACGGAAAATAATTAAAACACATACTTAACAATTCTAAGTTTAAAAATTTAATAATAACAATTATTATCTGCTGTAAATTTTACTTACCCGCCAAGGGGAAGAGTGTTGATTACAATATAGTAATTCTGGAGGATCGACTGGAAGGTCTACATTAACCCATGAGTCATATGAATCTGGGAAATAATACCAATGAAGTAATGACCAACGTTCTCTATTTTTGTAAACTGGTCTTGCATACTCTTCATCTATTGGGTCAACATTTGGATACACTATATGAGTAGCTTCTTGTTCATTCTCTATGATGTAAAAAAAGCATTATTAATTTTAATTAGAGACTTAAAAATAAGTAAATTAATGTTAACACAACTTAAAATTATCTCATACCTGTTATAGTTCCTTGATGTCTTTTAATAATTTCTTTTAGTTTTTCTTTTTTATCAACATCGGGTTGAATGAAAATTACCGGCAAAGTTAAACTTTTGGCACTTATTAAAGCTTTTTCAATGTTCATAAACATTTCAATACTCCTATCCATTCTAGATGGGCTCTAAAAATTAAAAATAAAGTATTTATATCTTTAAAAGCAATTTTTATTTAATTTCATCACAAGTCCTAAAGAATGTGCACATGAAATTTTAATATTGGTCTTAAAGCAAACATAAAACATGTTTATACATACATATATATATATATATATATATAAAATAATACCTTTAATAAAATAAAAACTAAATAAATCAAACTCTTTTAAATACATTATTAAAAAATAAGATTGCATTGTAAATTTTTTTAAGTATAAAAACTAAATATTTTGAAATGAAATATTATAACATATAGATAACAATTAAAAAATTATATTTATTTGTGAAAATTTTTTTTAATTTGCAAGAGTGAACAAAAATTTTAACTTGTATATTCCTAACTCAATTTATATAAATAAATAAGGAAGATATTAGTTCATATAAACAGACAAGCAAACGAATATTATTACACTAGATATTAGCCCAAGATAAATTTTAGTAAATATACTACAATTAAGCAACCTTAATATATAATGTCATTTATTTACAGTTTGTACAATAAAACTTATAGCCTAGAAATAGTATAACCAGCAAACTAGCAAACTGCATTTAATAAATAGAATACTTTCATAAGATATATAGAGACTAAAATATCAAAAAAAATTCAATTTAAATCTTTAAAATATATGTATATCCAACATTAAATAAATACTAATAATAATATTAGATAATATAATTAATAATAATACCCAATTTATTTATTTATAAACTCTTATCAGAGTTGGCTAACTTATTTTAAGAAACATTATTATAAATACTATATAATATATATACCATAAAAAATTATACCCAAAATATCAGATGTAAAAAAGTACATAAATATATACAGCTTTTAAAATATTTAGAATAAGAGCCTGACTTTTTTATTGAATGCTCTGATCTTCAAAAATACTATAATAATCAGATTTTTTGTTGAATAGCTAAACAATGGCAAATAAACCAAAAAAACTATAAGCTATTTTACTAAAAATAAATTTCAATAAAAACATATTTAAGTACAAAATCATATTAAGTTAAAAAATTGAGCAACTTGATTAATCTTATATACATGCATATAAAACATCACATTTTTTTCTTCAATATTGACAAATACAAGGAAATAATTATTAATATCAAGCATTTTTTATACGTAAATTATTTTTAATATGTTATTAAATAGAATCTGATAGAATAAATAGAAATAAACTGGACATTTATTTATAAAACGATTTTTGGTAATATCAACATCTTATGAAAGAAAATATCCAAATAATTAAAGCAATAATTGTACATATTTATTTTTTATAAAAGTTAAATTTTAAGTGATGATATTGAAAAAATAAATTCATTTTTCATGAGAAAAAAAATGAATATTCTTTTAATTAAAAATGTTAACCAAATTATTATAGTAATTATAAAATTATTGGCATGTTTTTTCCCCACAAGATTTTAAATTCTATGACTACATACCATAAAAGGCTAAATATCTAAATAATATTTAGCATGCCACATTTGAAAATTTTGATTTACTGATCAATTAGATTTACAAATTGAAAATCATAAAAAGTTATCAAAAACTAAAAGTTATGTACTTACAAAAATAGGTTTACACTTTGCAATAAGGCTTAACCATATAATAAGAAATAGCACATAACATGTACCTCTTGTTTAAGATTACATATTGTATATGTTGATACTAAAAAGTTAAACATACTGTCACATATGCTTTATAAGGACAAAAAAAATTGAGGATAAAAGGAATGGATAGAAAGGTGCATATAGTGCGTGCTTGGCATGTGTTAATTTAGTGATTGCCACAAAACAAGCACACATTACGAAAAAACTTTTTACATATATTAAATGATGTAAACAACAACGTAATAGAGACGAGCTTTAGCAACACAAATCGACAGCGTGGGATTTTAATAAAAAGGTCAGGCGTGCACTTCCAATTAGTGGTTAGTGGTGAGGTGAAATGAAGGCTCGTCTCGCCAAATCATACCTTACTGACCTGGAAATCGAATCTTCTCCAACCTTGATCCACTTTAAATTTATATACTGTAGCCAATAAATGGCATAATGCACCACCTGGTTTGAAATCTAAAAAGCAACGCATCTGAAAAAATCAAATTTTATTTTTATTTTATTCAAATAAGATAAAGTAGGTGGGATAAATATAAATTTATCATTTATCCCAAGAGATGAGAATGCTTAGATAGATGAGTGGAGTGACTAGAGAAGATAGGATAAGGAACGAGCATATAAAAGGGAAGTTAGGTGTAGCGTCAATCATAGATACATAAGAGAAAACAAACTCAGATGGTTTGGTCATGTTATGAGGAAAGAAAAATCGGAAGCTATAAAAGTAGTTATGGAAATGAATGTTGAGGAAAAAGAGGTGGAGAAAGAACAAAAAAGAGATGGAGGGATGCTATTGAATGCGATATGAGGACAGCTGATATGAGCGTAGATGATGTGGGAGATCGTGTCAAGTGGAAGTTTATGATAAGGATAGTCAACCCCAAGTAGTTGGAATTAAGGTGAGGAAGAAGAAGAAGAAGGTGGTATAAATGTAAATGAATAGAATAAATGTAAATTCATTTATTCTCTTGGAAAATTTAACAGATTATATTTTAAATTGTAAAATTCTAGTCCTTATATGTGTTGCTATTATATTAAATGTTAATTTAAAATAAAAACGTGTACCTTTATCTAAAAAAAATGCATTTACAATTACATATATATATAACTAATCTATTATTTAAAATTAAAATACGTTTAAAATATTTAGAATTTTTTTTTGTGGTTTTTTAAGTTACATATTCTTTATTTTTAATTTTTGAATAATATTTGCCATAAGTGATCAATTTTTATTATACTAGTCTATTTAATAAATATAATTAACTTACAGGCAGGCGGGTAAGTGGAGGCTTGCTAACATTTTTACCAAGATTATCTTCTTGGAATTGAATTAGTTGTAATATCAACGCTGCAAGTGATTTATTGGTAGGTGGATCCGTTTGCAAATACTATTTAATGTAAAAAAAGATTATTCAAATATTATAAAAATATTATCTATCCTAGTAGTTCAGATGTATAAAATTATCACATAAAACTATAAGAGTACAAACCTTTTTATGGTTTTTCATGAGCCACGTCCTGACACTTTCTAACATGTTTAGAGTTTCAGATGACTCAAAAAATTTAATATTAGGACTGCCATCCTTTTTTGGACCCAAGGCCATCATTTTGAGAGAAATTTGTAGATTACTTGACCACAATTTAATATCTACAATTTAATAAAACAAATTCTGAAATTTCATTCCCGGTGAACGCCGCAAGAAACAACAACAAAACGTCGATAAAAAATATGGCCGAGTTGTTTGGTTTGGGGAAATGATTTTACATGGATACCAACTCAAACTACACTGCACCATATCACAAAATGGTAAAAATTAAAAATTTTTTTTAAACAAATTTTGATTTAAAAATAATGGAAAACGTTTTTAATATATTCTCTTTTTATATAAATTTAATATTATTAATTAAAAAAATGTATTATGAGTTTATAAATAAACTGATTTTCCCGCGATTTTTGTTTACATTGATGGGAGTAATTTTCCATTTTTGTTTACATTATCACAATTCGAAAATTCTCTATTTGTATACCTTTATGCCCATGATCTTTCAATTTTCAATTAGATGTACATTTATTACTGTAACAAAGACTTCTTTGTCTAGCCGAATGTGTATCGTTCGATTCTATAGAAATGAATAATTATTGAAAAGACTAATTCTAACTGGAGTATAAATTTCACCTTTTTTTCAAGTGTAAATTTATTAATACGTCTAAAAAGTGCTTTTTAAGGCTGACAAATTATGACGTCTGTAAACCGTAAGTCAACATTAACCGATTTAGCGGGTAAAAGTTGGGCTGATCTCTGCGAAAGTTCGCAATCATCACAATCACAATTGGAGTCAAATAAAGAAAAAAATATTGCTAAACAAGAAGATAGTGATTTGTACGATCTAATTTTTCAACCAATTAAAAAAGAAACTGACAAAGTTGCTTCTCAAGATGACCTTAGTTTAACCTCGTTTATGAATAATGTTCATATGGTGACACCTATCAAACAAGAAGACATTAAATCATCATCATCAACTATTATTGATGAAGAAACAATTTGTAGTCCTTTTGTTAAAGATGAAATAGAAGTTAAATTAATAGAAAATCTAGTTAAAAAACCAGAAGTTTCTAGTCAACTAAATGGAATCCAACATGCTAAAAGAAGATTAACTTCAGAGTGTGGTTCACTAGCTTCTGAAACTGAGTCTATTGCAACTGAAAGAGTAAAAAAAGTTAATAAACTATCTATTGATCAAAAGGATATACACGATGTAGAAAGCCCTAAGTAATTATTACTATATTTTACAACCAATAAAGTCTTAATAGTAAATAAAATGTTTCCAACAGAGTAATTTGTTTTTTTTTAAATATTCTGTGAATTAATTTTATTGAGTATAGATGTATCTGAAGCTTGTCTTAAATTTGGACTAAGTAACTCAGAGATCATAGAACCTGTGGGGTTAGTTAATTTAAATATAAGTTGAATAAATTTCTTTCTGAGACACCAAAACCTTCTACCATATCAAAATCTTTAATTTGTAAGAATTTTCTAAAACATTACATTTTTATAAGAAAGCTTAGTTATTGTTAAAAAATTATTTACCAAAACTTCTATAAAATCAATAAAAATGCTTATAATGATAGGACAAGATTGGAGCGAGAGACTGATACAATGATTTTAGCTAGAAGACAAAAACAGATTGACTTTGGTAAAAATACAATTGGTTATGAAAGATACTTGGAAGAAATTCCTAAGTAAGCAATATGCCTCAATTAATAAATATCTTATTGATTTATTTAATTTTTTTGTTAAATTTTAAAATAATATATATGATATTTCATTGCAAATCTGATGTTTTAAATCTTACAAAGGCATAAACGTAAAAAAGAACATCCTAAAACTCCACCTAAGAATTTGAAATACACTCGGCGAGCATGGGATGGACTAATAAAAAATTGGCGTGTCAGGTTACATTGTTGGGATCCAGATAGTAAAACCAATGATGATGATGCATTAACTACTGGATCTAGTTCAAATTTATGCTCGTGAGATAATAAAAATCTATATTTTTAGTTATTATATTTGATTAAGTTAATATTTAAAATTGTTATTATTTAGCCTTGGATCAATGACCAGCTTAGATTCAAATTCTCAAGCGTCTGATTCTAGACCTTCTTCTCCTCAATCAGATAATTTAGATCAAACAGCAATAAAGCGTGAGAAATGTAATGCTTTTTCATCTCCAGACCCTGTTAAATTTAAAAAAGCCAAAACTGAACACAAATAAATAATTGAACTAAATGTAATTATTTAAAATATTTTATTTGACCACTTATTAGAATTTTCATAACAAATATATTTTGTAGTATTCTAATGAATATGATTATTTATGAACATAGAGTAAACCATTTTCTAAAATTATTTTGATTAATAAAAAGTTTGTGAGTGTTTTTCAATTTTATTTTATAACTAATTAAATATTTTGTGATAAAAAAATATTAGATATTTATTACATTTATTTTTATGATACACACAATGTTTCCATAAGTTTAATTATTTTAAACTGCTTACTAAATAAAATTGAAAATTAGTTTTGTTCTTTTTTTTTTTGTTATCCTAGGTAAAGAAAATTGATTGCATATATAATGTGTTTATTGTAATATCAAGACATTATTTTAGTATAAACTTGCAGTTGCTTTGTAAATATTTTTTTATTATTATTATATATTTCTAACTTTGTAGCATTTTATACTTTAAGATAATTTGTATAATGTATAATAAATGACAAAATATATTTCTAATCCAAATTGAATTTGTATTATTTGAAAGCAGTTTTTTTTAATTGTTGCAATACTCAAGAAAAAAATAATGGTAACAGATACAAAAAAAAAAAAATCACATTATAGTAAAACTAATACTCAGCTTTTTAATACTTCAGTTTCTCAGCTTTGCATTGAAACTAATAACAAAATTTATAACTTGTAAAAACATAAAATGTTTGTTGCATATTATTAGTGTATACCAATTATGTATACATAGTGGAACAGATTTAACTATCAACTGTTATTTAATTAACATCTTGCTGTAATTTTTTTTTTAACCCAACCACGCTGCATATCCACTCATTTTATTAAACATTTTTGTAAAAAAAAAAGCATAAACTGGTTGAAAATAAAAATTTTTTTTTTACTTAAAAACAAATAATCAAACCCAACAGTTGGATCGCACCATAGTTGGGACAACTATGATATCTGATAGTGGCTATAATCACTATCATATAAGACTTCTAATGATTTTACTTGCAATTATTAATTTTTTGTGTGTTCGTTTACGCAATTACTTAGCTCCTACTGAATCAATTTTGCTCAACTATACGCCAAATAATCACAAAACGTATTTATTTGAATCACATATGAACCGAAAAAAAATTTTAGTTTATAAAATGTTTTTGTAAATTTTAAAATGTGTTTTTTGAAAATCCTATCGTTAACCAAAGTACTGGAAATGGATAAAATCATAAAAAAATTTTTTCTTTTCAATTATCCATAATGTTTCAAAAAACCCGTCTTCTTTAAATCTACATTTAATTAAAGTTAATACAATGTACTTTAAGATGATAAAAGAAAAACTATCCGAAAATTCGATTTATTAGAGTTATCCAGTATTTTAAGAAAATACTTTAAAATGTATATTAATATTTGTGTTAGCATGACGAATATATCGTTATTGTTTGACGTTAATAAATAATAATAGTCGTTCTAATAGTCAACTTAATTAAATAAAATGTTAAATCGACCTAGTCATTTGTGGTAGTTAACAATGTGGTCGGAAAAGCGATAATATTGACAAATAAAACTAGCTGTCACTGTTATTAATCGTTTTGATTAGCAGCTATTTATTGGGAAATACGCTGAAATCATTACAATGACTATTCCTTAATACCACTAAATTAAATTGCTGCGCCTCTTACTGTTCTATTCTGTATTGCAATTGCTGTCCTGTTGTCGATCATAATATTAAATGTATACCCATTATAAAGCTACTTCATTGATACACGTTGGCGAACCTGGGATGACACTGACTCCAAATTGTAAATTATTATCCTAATAAATTGACATTATTCTAATTCTACTATGATTAAAATTATTCTTTAAAAGAATTTTGTTGGTCGGTTTTTTTCTTAGTTAAAATTTTGTAATAAATAAATACAAAATTTTTATTTGTGTCAAGTATTTATTATACATGGATAGATTTGTTGAAAGGTTTTAATAAAATTTGCGTCATGACACCCATTTTCGGGACCCTCGAAGTCAATCGCAAAAAAAAAATTCAACATCTTTAAAATTTTAATGATCCTTGCAAATCATAGATGAACTACCCATTCCCTTTAAAAAACAAATTAAATATTATGTTTATTGTTACATGAAAAAAAATTAAGGTCGTGGAGGTTCAATCATGCATTATAAAATATTTTTTATGAAATCAAATTAAAATTTAAATATTGGAAGGGGGGTTTATGTTTTTATTCCACCCTCTTCCCATAAATTATCTACACCTCATGTATACACATTTAATTTGCAAAAGCTACTTAAAGCCGGTCATGAACTCCAATAAATTTTTTCAAAACTTTTAATTAAAAATTTTAAAAATATTAATTATTTTTTACAAAGTTTGAAACTTAATATATGTATAACACTTTTAAATAAAAGTTGTATGGAATTATACTAAAATATTTTTATTAATATTTATCCTAAATATTAATATTAATAATAATCTTGAAAATGTTTTTTTTTTTGAGTAGTACCTTTTGATTTATAAGTAGTTAAATACTTTTTAGGTTCACCCTATCCCTTTCTTAACTTTATTTTTTTTTTAATGGCAATATATAAATTGAAATAGCTTATAAAATAGAAAATAATCTAATTAAGAAAATGACTGGTCGATAACAACTTAAGTTAGTTTTTATAGCTGGCGGGAGAAAAAAAGCTATCGAGAACTAATGTTTAATGATAAAAATAGTCATACCTGTTCACTAATACATTAGAACAATAAATAGAAAACCACACAGATTGACGACAAATTCATTAATTATTTACAATTCGAAAGACAGCTATTTAAGAAAATGAAAACTGAAGTCAAACGAGTCAAGAAGAAAGAGCAACAAATTAAAAAAAACTAGTATCATAAAGGTATAGTACAGTAATTCTACTGTATAAGAGTATGTGATCCGGCGGGCATATAGTAAGAGAATAGGATCCTGTCTTATTCAATAGTCTTTCAGTTACGTAGCCTGCGATATAGTATTAAGTTCATAAGCGAACTGGCAACGTTGCTTTGAGAAGTCTGAAGGGACAGAGCGTTAAAAACTTTAACGATTGTAAACACCACGTTGTCAATTTGCTTATGAACTAGTCTTTTATTTGAAATTGTTGCTTTTGTGGCTCGATTGACTACAGTATTTTTTTCCAATCTACTGAAATCGGTTGTTTCACGTTTGCGCTCAAATATACTAAAATTATTGCTATTAATAGACCGTCCGTTTGAGTTATTTTTCAATTTGTTATTTATTGCCTATTAATATTGTAAATAAATTGTATTTATAAAATGTATGTTGTTTATTATGTCAAGCACCACTTTTACTATATTAAAGTTATTCTTTCTTTAGCAGAAATGTTTGATGGAAGACTAAAATTGTCATTTTACATTTTAATCGAGANTAAAAGTTATTACAGTGCATAACCGATTAAATTATTATTAATTACATTACATATACAGGGTGTTCAGTAAGTCAGGAAACGGGTATCTATTGTTCTCATTGTTACAAACAATGAGAACAATAGATACCCGTTTCCTGACTTACTGAACACCCTGTATATGTAATGTAATTAATAATAATTTAATCGGTTATGCACTGTAATAACTTTTAATTTAAAATTTAAAAATTTAATAATCGTTTATAAACTTACATAAAAACTGTGCGAAATATTAATTAAAATATTTATTTTATATATATTATATATGTATAATGAGGTATTTAATTAGCTTTACAAAGTGATTGACTTATCATTGATCACTAAATTTCTACAAAAGTATTAATCTTAGAAATACTTTTTTTTGGCTCTGTTGAGTACTATTTATATTTCAATTTATAAATGGTTAAATATTTTTTAGATTCGTCTCTTACCCCTTATAAGAGTACAAATTTTTTTTTTTATATATGGCAACATACATTATTAATTTATTTATAAAATAGAAAATGGTCTAATTTAAAAAATGACTGATCGATAATAACTATTGAACCAGTATTGAAAATGCGCAGGCGAGAAACGTCTAATGATAAAAATAGTCATAAATATGTTAGAGCAATAAATTGAAAACTACAGAACAAATCGGTGATAAATTCATTAATTATTTTGTATTCGAAATATGCGTGGAAATTAATACTGAAGTCATATGAATTAAGTAGTAAGAGCGATAAATTCAAATAATCAGCTGAACTATATTAAAGAGTCGTGAATGTAAAGTACAATGAAAATATTGTATGAGAGAACGTGACTCGGCGGCTAAATGGTAAGAGAAAAAATTCCATCTCAGTCAATAGTAACTCAGTTTTGTTTTCTCGGTCCCGCGGCGAGGAAATTAGTTTTTAAGCAAACTGGCAACGTTGCTTTCATTTAGTTTGTATTATTAAAAGGAAAAGCTTTGAAATCTTTCTTAACGCTTATGAACTCCACGCGTTGCCAGTTTGCTTATAAACTTGCACTTTATTTGAATTAGTCGTCGTTTTTTAAATACTTGTTCTAGTTACTGAAAACGATTGTTTGAATTTGTCGCTCAAATATACTAAAATTATTGCTATTAATAGACCGTCTAGTTGAGATATTTTGCTATTTATTCATTATCGCCCATTAGTATAGTAAATAAATTGCATTTATAAAATTTATGATGTATATTATAAAGGCTTTGTCATTTTTGAGTACAAATTATTCAAGCACCACTTATACTACATTATATTTATTGTGTTATTTTCTATTTTTAGCAGACATTGTTGTTATGTTTCATGGATTATTAAAATTATCTTTTTACATTTTTTTGAAATAATATATATAATGAAATTAATAATAAATTAGTCGGTTATGCACTGTAATAACTTTTAATTTAAAATTTAAAAATATAAATAATAATTTACAAAATTGTAAACTTGATATATATATATATATATAAATGTTATATAAAAATTGTTTAAAATATTCATTATTTGTATAAATATATATATATTTAAATAGCTTTACAAAGTGACTAATTTATCATTGACCACTATATTTTTCCTAAAATAGTAATCATTTTAGAAATATTTTTTTTTTGCTT